TTAGTTTATTTGATCGAGCCTCATCCTCAAGTCTTGTGTTTGTCCTTCGGGATAGATACAGGATTTGAGGTACAACGCTCTTTCATTTAAATTATGAAAAATATGGGGTCAGTTTGATTTCATATTTTTCTAAAACTAAATATATATGTAAATTAAAATGTCCTTCTGAAGCGGGCTACGAGATTTTGATTTGGGTGACCAACAGCTTCTTACGGGCAACTCCTCAAACCAAAAATAGCGCCGAAAGCTTTTGGGAACTCCGCTGGAGAGAAGTTTTTCTCTCCAAACAAATCAAGAAATATTATCTTCACACATCGGTAATGTGTCCATGTCCCTCTTGGACCAAATTACCTTTCTTCCGTTGGCATACTTTACCCATTTCTATCTTGGGAAAGTACAGCTAACTCCTTAGACTTCAGGACTATCTGTTCAACAATCTTTGAACAGAGGTGTTCAGGAGGCCATTAAGGACTCTTTAAATTTTTTATGTGGGGTCGGACCCCCGATAGGTGTGTCGGTCGACTAGTTCCACTTGGGCATTGTCTGCCATTAAATGGGTCCCGCACTTGGGTCTTAAACTACTTCACATCTCCCTTCCAAATTTGATTTGATATTCTGCAATTTAAACCAAATTGTGTTGTGCTGTGCGCACTTTAAAATTTTCTTATATTAATTAAAATATCCACCTCTTGATTTTTCTTGAACAAAATTTTAAAATACTCATAAATTAAGACTCGCCCGGTCTACATATCAACCTCTACTTTCAGTGCTTGCACTAAAAATTACGAGGTTTTTGCCATATAACTAACCCCAAAACTTTCTGTTTTCAAGCCCGCTACAATGGCCTACCCAACGTTTACATTTTCCTGCAACCTGCCAACGAGCCACGAAGCCCGTAACCTCGCTCCTACCCGTACCACGAAGCCCGTAACCTCGCTCCTACCATCAAATTTGGAACTGAATTTGAAGATCTCGAGGTCATCCTCGGGAAAGCCCCATTTGTAGTGATGAAGATTGCTGCTCTAGAAATATAGGAACAGTCTGCAAAATTTAACCTGAACTACGTTCAAGACTTCCCTGCCTGCAAGAAGGCCAAAACTAATCCTGCGCCGTTACGGCCCCCGCCAAACCTGTTATCCCCGCTGCTGCTAAGAGGAAAGAAGTAATGATTATTGAGGATCCGATTGAGGGATTAACTATCCCACCACCCATGTTTGAAATCTGATCAAGCTCAAGGACTGGACCACTGACCTGAACCCAAAAAAGGAACCGTAACAGAAGGGTTCAGAGGGCCATCAAAATCAAAGCCCAGGCTCCTGAGTCCTGAGAAGACACCTGTTGAAGAGGAGCCTCATCAAGATGAAGAAGGATTACCGAAAATTTATCCACTCCTACGAGGGAGTAGATTCTATCCTTTGACGAATACCGATGGATACAGAGTATCCGGAAAATTGCCATCGCATTACCACCACTTCATGGACATGGTGAGGAGAGAAAGAGGTTTACTCCTATCACCCGAGTTAGTGTAGTTTTCAAAAGGCTAGCTGCCAAGAAAGGATGTTCAGTTAGTGAGTTACTTAAATGAGTGGGACATGCAATTTCTCCTCACATGAAGAAGGAAATTTTGAAGGATGTCAAGTCCGACAGACAGTCTCACAAGACAACTGGAGTGCCACCCACTCGCATCCCCGTTTGGTTCCATTTAGGGAACAGAGTTGATACTGCAGTCATTACTACTGATTATACTGCCATTATGACCACAGGCTTTAGGACCACAAGCTGTCGACCGGTTAAGTCAAGACTGGGTCTGAAAATCTTACTCGTCACCCATTATGGAGATATTCCTACAATTCTAAAGGCAAAGACAAGACGATTACCTGACACTGTAGCCGGTCTACACCACAGGGAGCATACTTTATCTCGACATACTAATGTTTCAACTAAGACACTTCATCGTGAGATATCATCATCAAAAAAGAAAGAGGTATGGGTACCTAAGGTCGCTGCACCGATACAGTCTGGTAAGCCCGCGGGGCGGGGCAAGAACTTGGAATGAAGCCAGGGTCTAAAATATCTGACATCGTCACAACAATAGCCAGTGAGATGGAGGAATAAGAAAAGGAGGTCCATCAGGGTCCTCCAGATCTTAAAGCAATCAAGGAATTGATAATTGAAGAAAAAGTTGAGAAGCTCAGGATCGAGATTTCCGAGTTGGCACGGGAACACAGAGTTTTCGTCAATAGCGATGAGGAAAATTTTGATTACAATGATTAGCTGGAGGAAGATTTCATGGAAGTTCATGTAATTGAAACCAGAGCCGCCACATCTGCACGCAAGGCTCAACCTCTCACCAAAGAGAACGCCATAGATGAGCAGTGTAGGGCTATCCGCCTAAGGGATGAACAAGTTAGTCTACTGAAGAAAAGAATAAAAGAAATGGCCGCAACCATGACCACCTTGGCCACTGTTCAGGGGCAATCATAAGCACCGCAATTGGCTTCTCCAGAGATCAATCAGCCGGAAAGCATACACATCATAGATAAAAGAAGAGAGGTTTCTTCAACAAACAGAGACGAGCAACATAAAAAGGATTCTCTATCAGGTGCTATATCAGAAAAGGAATTCAAGCAAATGGTTGAACAAGTGCAGGACACCTTAACCCATCTAAGGTTGGTGCATTAATTTTAAAGGGTAGACCTTACCCAGAGAAATTCAATTTCGTGCCTTTCCCCAAAGCTTTGTGACCCCAAACTTAAAGATATTCGATGGGACAAGAAATCCTAGACAGCACATAACACATTTTTTAGCCAATTTTGGAAACACGAGGAATAACGAAGCTCTACTCTGTCAGCAGTTTTTTAGCAGCTTGTCAGGAATTGCTTTTGACTGGTATGCTGACTTGCCCAACGGGTCAGTTAAATCATTTTCCAAGTTGGAACAGCTGTTTGTGAAAAGATTAACTGGGGCACAACATCATGTGTTTATTGGAGAGCTCATGATGGAAAAACAAAAGCCTAGAGAAACTTTGGTGGACTATATTTTGAGGTGGAGAAACCTTAGCATGAAATGTGAACCTCAGATACAGGAACATCATGCGATTGAAATTCTACTCAAGAGCATACATGGCCCACTAGCTTTCATGCTCAAGGGACTCACCATCAAATCCTTCAAGAAGCTACTCAGTAAAGCCAACAGTCTTCAAGAAGATATCAAGCACATGGAGCCACACAAAAAGGCTAAGGTGGCCAGAGTATTCAAAAAGAAATCAGGAGTAGTAGCGACCATCGACAAAGAAAAGCAGTCGATGAAGATATATGCAAAAGATCCTTACCAGTCTTTGTTACAGTATGCTCAGAAACAGAGTAGTCAATCCAACCAGCAACCGCCTTAAGAAGGATCACCTCAAACAGGGGATAATAAAATGTCCTTGTCAGAATGACATAAAACGGTGTATTCTTTCAAAGATGAAGCTATACCTAAAATATTCATAAGTCTGATGAAGAAGCCAAAATTTAGACTACCAGACCCGAAGAAGCCCGAAGAGGTGGGTAGGAAAAATGAACCAAATTATTGCCCGTACCACCGGTTGCTCGGACATACTATAGAGGCATGCGTCATCTTTAAGGACTAGCTCGAGAGGAACCTTAAAGAAGGGAACATAACAATCTTGAAAGAAAAATTAAGAGAACCTGAAAAATCCATAAATATGATTTCGGCCGAGCCAATCTCCCCAATCGATCCGTATACTGGAACAGATGGATGGAGTACAACTTGGGATGAACTCAAGAGGGTCCTCAATCAAATACAGGGTCCATCAAAACAATCTTCTACACATACCAAAGAAGAAAAATGGAATGAGGTATGGAGCATATCATCTAAGAAAACAGTGAACAAGATCCAGTCTGCATCAAGACAAGCCTCCATTCAGAGCCCGAGATGAAGGTTTTGCCAGAAAAATCCATCATCGTCCAGGACAAAGAGCAAGAAAAAGAGGAGCGCCACTAACAAGATCGATAGCACGGGGGGTAGGATAGGGGCTGCATCTACCAGATTGGTTGTCTCGGATTTGGGGAAGAAAGCCCTCGAACCCTTGACTTTGTATGATTATCTTTTTGTCCCTCCGGATCCCTCCGGAGTCTTATGAGTCTTATGAATATAATGATTGTGATCTTAGCTATGTTTTAACTGTTTCTAGTGATAACGTAACTGATTATGACCAATCTAACTTCGATCTCGATCCCTAAAATGATCCTCAAATCTTACTCGAGCCCGATGAACTCATTGTAAAGTCCAAAGAAGACATCAATGACACCGCTTACGACAGCACCGGGAGCGAGGAGCCAATTCTCGAGCATCACGGTACACCGCTTACCATCAACCTAGATCTTTTGGACAAAGAAGAGGAAACACCGAAAGATTTAACAATGGTAGCTCAAGAAGAGGAAATTACAGAAGTTAACTTAAGGAGTAGAAAAATGTTACCACCAAGAACAGCTCCAACAGATAAAGGAAAGCAAATAATGACCCGAGAAGAGATACCTCCATCTTCACCAGTGGAAGAACCACATAATCAAGATAAAATTAGAGGATCATACAAAGTAGATTACAATGTGCTAGCTCATCTTAGGAAGTTACCGACCCGATTAAGCATCGACGCTCTGATCATGTCATAGGAAATGAGAGAGTCTCTGATTACAGCTTTGCTTGACCCAGAGATCTGCCTAGGTCAGTTGGTCAGCACATCCTCAGATGAAGTTTGTTTGTTGAAAGAATATCCTGGGATAACCTTCACAGATGAAGACTTGCTGCTCGGTACCGCCGACCTCAACCGTCCACTCTACATCTCTGTCAACATCGACAGATTTGTGTTGTCCAGAGTTTTAGAAGATCTTGGAGCATCTCTTAACTTAATGAGCCTACAAACATTGACTTATTTGGATATTGAAGTTTAAGAGCTTACGACCAATAAAATGAAGTTAAGAGGATTCAACCAAAAGGGAGAAAGAGCTCTTGGATCAATTACATTACTTATGAAGGTTGGAGAACTCATGACAACCGCTAAATTTTATATCATCGACGCCGAGACCTCGAGACTTCCTTCAATGCTCTACTTGGAAGACCATGGATTCATGAGCATAACATGGTTCCATCATTCTTACATCAATGCATCAAGTACTGCAAAGATGGTCAAGAAAATTGCATCAACGGAGACTTACAATTATTTTTAGTGCATGAAGTTGGTATCCATGAAGATGCTGCCTACTACGCGCCTCCAAAGAAGATTATCTTCTCTCACAAAATTATCATAAATAAAAATGAAGCTTTGAAAAAATCACAAAGAGAAAGCCATTCAGCTTCGCTGCAACGATCTTCCACCACTCCCTTACAACAAGTTGGTGGAGGTTCTTTTAATTCGTGCACCTGAAGTTGAGGCTGGGGACTGACCAGAGGAAAATATGTTGAGGTTTTTATACCTATTTTATACTATTTTTGATGATAT